CTTTCGACCTGCTCCTTGGGGCTGGCAGGGGAAGCCCACCACCAGCCCCAAAGAGCAGGTTGGGGAGAAGCGGAAAGGCGCGCAGCGGAGAGGCTGCTGCCATAGTCGCGCGTCACCTCTCCAGCTGGGAGAGGGTCGCTGGGCTACGGCTTCTTTAGCCCCCCGCGCGCTCTCCGGCTGGAGAGGTGACGCGCGGCTATAGAGGCTCCTGCCACAGCCGTGGGTCACCTCTCCAGCCGGGAGAGGGTAAGCGGGGCTTCTTTAGCCCCGCGCGTGCTCTCCCGGTTGGAGAGGTGACGCGCGGCTATAGAGGCTCCTGCCATTGCCGCACGTCACATCTCCAGCCGGGAGAGGGTCGCGGGGGGCTTCTTTTGCCCCGCGCGCGCTCTCCCAGCTGGAGAGGTGACGCTCGGCTATGGAGGCTCCTGCCATAGCCGCGCGTCACCTCTCCAGCCGGGAGAGGGTCGCGGGGCTATGGCTTCTTCGCTCCATAGGACGCACACACATTTCCCCTTCATTTTTGAAGGGGGGAAAGTGCGTCCTATAGAGCGAAAAATACGGTAATTTGTTCTGGAGGTCTGTTCTTAACCAGAAACTGTTCTTAACCTGAAGACCACTTTAGCTAATGGGGCCTCCTGCCACTGCACCGCCGCTGCACAATTTCTGTTCTCATCCTGAAGCAAAGTTCTTAACCCGAGGTACTATTTCTGGGATAGCGGAGTCTGTAACTTGAAGCGTATGTAACCTGAAGCATATGTAACCTGAAGCGTATGTAACCCGAGGTACCACTGTAGTGTTCATTTGAGTTATGATGTCCTGGTAAATGGATGTTCAGCCAGCCTAGATCAGAAACAAGTAGGTGTACAAGTGGGACTTGCAAGTAAATGTTGCAGGGTGCTGTTCAGGGGGCCAGCCAGCCATGCTTTTTTCTAGGATAGTTCCTCCATGGGATTTCCATGTGTCCAGCCACCCCACCCCACCCCTGCCCTAACAGAGGCTCAGTGTTCTGTAGTAGCTTCATTGGGCTTTTGCAAGAAAAATGCTTTTTTTTTTGTACTTCTGCAGACCCCAAGACTGCTTGATACCTCTCTGTTTTGGTGTTGCTTTGGTTCGATGTTAGTATATAGGATGGCAGTATTTATCCTTTGAAATCATGGTCCAGGTACTCTCCAAAGGAGGTTCTCTATTCAGTATAATGAAAACAAAAGGAATACCTGTGAGACTGATGTGCACAAAAGTTTGCTCAAAGCCAGACACAGAATACAAAACAAGAAGTTGCCAGTGTCCAGGTTTCCCTGCAATTTTTGTTGTTGTTGTTTAGTCATGTCCGACTCTTTGTGACCCCATGGACCAGAGCACGCCAGGCACTCCTGTCTTCCACTGCCTCCCACAGTTTGGTCAAAGTCATGCTGGCCTCTTTGAGAACACTGTCCCACCATCTCGTCCTCTGTCGTCCCCTTCTCCTTGTGCCCTCCATCTTTCCCAACATCAGGGTCTTTTCCAGGGAGTCTTCTCTTCTCTTGAGCCTCAGCTTCAGGATCTGTCCTTCCAGTGAGCACTCAGGGCTGATTTCCTTCAGAATGGATAGGTTTGATCTTCTTGCAGTCCATGGGACTCTCCAGAGTCTCCTCCAGCACCATAATTCAAAGGCATCAATCCTTCTGCGATCAGCCTTCTTTATGGTCCAGCTCTCACTTCCATACATCACTACTGGGAAAACCATAGCTAGAGCGACATATTTTTTGGGGGGGCTACTCTTGGCCTTTTTGTCAAGCTTCCCATTTTTTATTCTAGGGATGTAAAACCAGTTTACAAAATCTTGCAGAATTACAATGGGTTTATCTTTTGTCAGTGATTTTTCTTACTGACAGTGTCCCATTACACCCCCACTTTTCCTTCTAAGCAAACCCTCTGAAAAACAAAACATCATTCCATGTATAACCTTAGTATCAAACTTCGTTAGCAAGTTGGGGTGTGATTTCGCAATGCCTGCCATTGTTGGACATGTGCTTGCATCTATTGCTTCTATGACTTTAAATCGCTAAATGATGTGCTGGTAACAATTACTATTAAATGTGGACATTTTGCACTCGTGACAGAAGGCAATTTTTTATCCTAAAATGAGTGCATTGGAATTTGCTGAATGTGTATTGTGCTGAATTAGTTTGTTAGCTAACAGATAAACAATGGTTTTGAAGTAACTACATGTTGTTGCTGGTTTTTTTTAGGAGGGGCAGAATCTTACAATAGGAATTTAACAATTCCCTGTATGTTTACTTAGAAGCAAGTCCCACTGAGTTCAGTAGGGCTTAATTTCTAGTAATACCGCCTCTGCTGGTATGCCCCACGGAGGACCTTAAGGTCCATAAATTGCAACACCCTAGAGGTCCCGGACCCTAAGGAACTCAGATTAGCCTCAACCAGAGCCAGGGCCTTCTCAACACTGGCTCCAGCCTGGTGGAACGCTCTGTTCATGAGACCAGGGCCCTGTGGGATCTGATTTCTTTCCGCAGGGCCTGTAAGACAGAGTTGTTCCGCCTGGCCTTTGGCTTAGAATCAGTTTGATTCCCTCCCTCTCTTTCTTTTTCCTTTCTCCTCCTGTGAAGAGGCTGCATCCTAATGTTTTAATGTTGTATTTTAATCTTGTTTTTTAAATTGTATTTTAATCAGCTTGTTTTTATTATTGGTTGTTAGCCGCCCTGAGCCGTCTTGGCTGGGGAGGGCGGGGTATAAATAAAATTTATTAATAATAATAATAATAATATGTTTAGGATTGCAGTCTAATATATCCAAATGTGTTTATTTTTCTAGCAAGGAAATATGATCACCAGCAGCAAGCGCAGAAGCAGAGTGATAGTGTACAGCTATTGGTGGAATGAAGTCTCGAAGCTCTGAAGCCGAGAGGATGATGGAAAGCTTGGGATGTAGTCCTTTTCAATGCGACTTGAATAGTATAGTGATTTGTATTCGTAATTATTGCCTTGAGAAGACGTATGTAAATGTACAGCGAGCATTTTCTGAAATCGGGAAAATTAACATGGCTGATACATATTGGCCCTGTTTCCCAGTTTGCATTACAAATGATTTCCAGTAAAAGTGGGAGTAGATAAAGTTAAGGCAGGGCTGCTGGGACGTTCAGTGTGGGTATCACAGCTATTCCCATTCAGAAGGGATGAGAAAGGCACATGACATTTGATGTGCCTCAGTGCGGTTAATAAAGTAGTTGGTGCTGGCAGAGAACAGAATATATACTTAGAGGCTCACAATAAATACCAAATGTCCTGTTTGGGTTATAGAATATAGATGAAGAGATAAAAATATTAGAATGTACAAATTTTCCTTTTTGCCCAGGTAAACAGTGGTGGATAAAACAATAAGTAGTTAAGGAAGTTCAGGTGGAGGCTCCGCAGGGCATGAATATTTTTCTTTTTACCTGTTTTACTTGTCTTCCTGGTTTTTTCTTTAATATTATTAAGTTCCATTGTTGTTGCAGCTGCTGTTGTTTTTAAGCCAGGATACTTCCAGTTAAAATTACTTAGGACCATTGAACTCAGTGGAATTAAGCTCTTTAGGCAGTTGTGCCTGGGTAGTCTGTGGTCTTAATTAGAACTAAAATAAACTTAAAATGTTTTTGGAGAAATGCCCATTTGACAAAGTCAGTAGCAAAGCTGCAATTCTTTATGGGGTGAGCACATTTTCTTATTGGGTTGTTAAATGGCACTTTAATGCGGCACTGTTACAAAGAGGGTTACATAGCTGGAGCACAAGATAGTAAAACTGTTCTGAGCAATTACAGCTAGAATTGCTTGGATTACAGATCCACCTTTAATGGTCAGTTATAAATGTATTTGCAAATATGTCAGACAAAACTGATTCTGGTGGAATTATGGAGTGATTAGGTGATGCAAATAATTTATATGCAGGTGCTCATAAATATTGGGAGAAATGTGAAAAAATTGTTCGAGGCACTTTTGAAAACATAAACATGTGACGAATTAAACAATGAATTGCATCCCTAAGTAGGTGGTGACTTTCCAATTATGGTTGAAAAGAAAAAGAGCAGATTAACAAATTTCTGTCTAGTGTTAAATAGCCATTTCCAACACTTGTCAAATTTTTTTTGTTTATGCCCCACGTCTCCTGAACTGCTGCCCTCTGCATAAAAAAACTTCTAGGAAAGTAATGTGCTCAAGTATCTGATCACAGCCAAAGTTCCTTATTCTCCCTTCCACTTCCAACAGCATTTCTGGCGTGAAAGTTAATGCTTTGGCTGTAGTGAGAGAACTATTCAAAGAGTTTCCTATTTGGACTGCAGATGGAGTTCAGTAGTCTATCCTTCTATACTTGGGATTTGGTCTCTATTATATCACCACGACCCCTCTTTGTGATCCTTTGCAGATTTCCTGTGTTTGCAGCACAGACTAGTGGGGATGAGCTTTCAGTCTGGACAAGTGTAATCAATCAGATGTGCAGTTTAAGGGCTGATGTTCACATCATGTTGGGGCAGCTTTTTGTAGATATAAAAGTTACCCCCAGATCTGCATTTCTGGGTGCTATATGGTGGGAGCTTGGAGCTTGCCAATCTTGGCTGTAGCGACTTCAGTGATTGTGTAGTAACAACAAAAAGGAAAGTGAATCAAGTGAATTTCTTATCCTGTATATGTATGAGGAACCCAAGGACATCCTAGTGCAGGCATAGGCAAACTTGGCCCTCCAAATGTTTTGGGACTACAACTCCCATCATCCCTGTCCACTGGTCCTGTCAGCTAGGGATGATGGGAGTTGTAGTCCCAAAACATCTGGAGGGCCGAGTTTGCCAATGCCTGTCCTAGTGTATCACTTGTGAATATACAACTACATAGTATTATTGTAATATAATGTATCACTTCCATTGGACTGTCTGGTACTATTGTGCCCTGGGTAGCAGCTGTACACTTGCCCTTGCAAAATGCTCCCGTACTTTCAGTGTATAAAATGTTTTTGTATTTTATTTTTAACAGTAAAATGCATTTAAAGTTGGGTCTGTGTGAAGCTTATTTTTCCTGAGCGAACAGCATTTTGATGGGTAACATGCATGTAAGTTTTAAAATATATTTCTTACAAGGATGCACGTTAAGAATTATTTATCAGACCTAATATCTAGTGAGGGATGCGGGTGGTGCTGTGGCTTAAACCACAGAGCCTAGGACTTGCCGATCAGAAGGTCGGCAGGTTGAATCCCTGCGACAGGGTGATCTCCGTTCCTCGGTCCCTGCTCCTGCCAACCTAGCAGTTCGAAGCACGTCAAAAGTGCAAGTAGATAAATAGGTACCGCTCCGGCGGGAAGGTAAACGGCGTTTCCGTGCGCTGCTCTGGTTCACCAGAAGTGGCTTAGTCATGCTGGCCACATGACCCGGAAGCTGTCTGTGGACAAACGCCAGCTCCCTCAGCCAGTAAAGCGAGATGAGCGCCGCAACCCCAGAGTCGGTCACGACTGGACCTAATGGTCAGGGGTCCCTTTACCTTTACCTTACATCTCAGCTGAGAAGTAGGGAAAGAGCAAGGTGTTGACGTTGCTGCATATAAACTGCAGCTGACGTCATGAGAATGGCCAGGAGGCGGAGAATGAAAGGTGGACAGAGAAGGAGAGCAGAAAAACAGGGAAAGGAGGGTCCAAAGGGAGAAAGGACTGGATAGGTGGGGAAGGCATAAAAAGGAGACAATTCCAGAGTGAACTGGAAGTAGCAAGCGAAAAGAGGAGGGGTGTTTGGGCTTGCCTGAATGGAAGCTCGAATCCTGTAGCAAAAGAGAGTAACAAGGGAGGGAGGACTTAAAGGATTTAAGAGGTCTCCTCTACTCCATGGACACACCTAGTGGGGGTATAGTTGACAAGCCTCTAAACTGAGGGTGCTGTATGTTTGTTCCACCTGTGATCTGGGCCACCTCAGATGTCAAACAAAATCTTCCGAAGGAGGCCAGAGGAGACGCTTGCTTACTTGCAGTGGATTCTGAAGAAAGACAAGCTTTGGGCAATGGACACTTGACATAACTGGTCAAATATCCCGCTTGTCTGAATTTGACACCTGACCGAATTAACTCAGAGCTGTAACGAGGGTCGTAAAATGGAAACTTACCATGAACAACTGAGGGAAGGAAGGTGATGGATGTGAGTGGCTTTGATGAATGTTTCAGTGAATCTTAAATCTGTCCTTGTTTATATGTGGATGCTGACGACCCCAGCTGAATCTACGTCTAGAAATATATATCGACAGTGGTACCTTGGTTTACAACCATAATCTGTTCCGGAGGTCTGTTTGTAAACCAAAGCAGCTTGTAACCCAAGGCGCGCAGTGGCGTAGCGTGGGTTGTCAGCACCCGGGGCAAGGCAAGTAATTTGCGCCCCCTAACCCGTGGATTTGTGCCCCCTAACCCTAACCCCCAGATGTTGCACCCGGTGCCGCCGACCCCCCCTGCACCCCCCACGCTACGCCACTGAAGGCGCGCTTACGCCAATGGCGTCTCCAAAAATTTTTTGTTCGTAATCCAAAATAATGAGTTGTAATCCAAAAAAAGGTTGCAAACTGAGACACGTACTTCTGGGCTTGACATGTTTGTAAGACGTATGCAAACCAAGGTACCACTGTATTTCCTCATGTTGCAGGAGCACAACACCTGAATGCTCACAGTTACGTTTGAGTGACTGTACATATTCACCTCTCTATTTCCAGACACTCTGGGATTTGTAAACATTACCAATTTTCAGATATTTCCTGTGACATAACTTGCTTTGTTGTGGCATAGACCTTGTATCTATTCATGTTTTTTGTCCGTGTGTGTGTGTGTTTAACACATAGGTTTGAATTTGCGTTTGTCAAGACTAAACTGTTGTCCCCCATATTGAAAAACAGCTTGGCTTTTACAAACTGCATTTCAGAGTTTGGACCTCAAAGTTTGAACATTGTTCTCCTTGTTCTAGGTCTTCCTTTCTGAGTGGAAGGAAAACAAAGTGGCCCTTTCCCAGTTAACTGTGCCGGAACTTCAAGAGGACTTCATTCATGGCTTACAGATGCTGAAATCTCTACAAAGCAGACATGTGGTCAAGCTGGTTGGATATTGTGAGGAGGAGTTCACCGTTCTTACGGAGTACCACCCGTTCGGCTCTCTGAAGAATCTGAACGAGATCTTGAACCTTCCAAAGTACAAGAGCTTCAACACATGGCACATCAGGCTCCTGCTTGCCATCGATTACGTGAGCATCCTCCATTACTTGCACAACAGTCCCCTGGGCACCCTTGTGATGTGTGACTCCAGCGACTTGGATAAAGTTCTTTCTCAGTACTTGCTGACCAGCAGCTTCCATGTTATTGTGAATGACTTGGATGCTTTGCCTCTTGTAGACAAGAATGCTGGCAGACTGATCAAATGTGGCCATCGGGAGCTTCAGGGTGCCTTTGTCGCTCCAGAACAGCTTTGGCCTCGGGGAAATGAAATGGCCTTTGAAGACAGCCTCATGCCTCCTTATGATGAAATGACAGATATATGGAAAATCCCCGATGTTTCCAATTTTATCTTGGGGGATGTCGATGGGAGTGATCTGGTCAGGTTCCACCTCTTTGACATCCACGGGGCCTGCAAAAGGAGCCCAGCTGAAAGACCTTCTGCTCAGACTGTTTTGGACACATACAAGAAAGTGCTAGAGTCGCTTGTGAGAGAAACAGTTATGCCAAGGAGAAGGGACATGTTATAAAACACACACACACACACACACACACACACACACACACACACCCCTCATGGACATGCCTTGGTACATAGTTAGCACATTTGACTCTTCCCGATCTGAGAAGTAAATGGTGCTGGTGGAAACATAGGCATAATTAGAAAAACTCTAAAATGGCTTCTTAAAAATGACTCCCGATTGCACCTTCTGTGACAAATTGTTGAGAAAACTGGGGGGGAGGGGAATAGTATGTGTTGTGTGTGGTAAATTTCTGGATGAGTATTTCTTCCTAAATCAAGTTGGCATAGGCAGAATAGATGTAACTACAGTTGTACCTCGGGTTACAGACGCTTCAGGTTACAGACTCCGCTAACCCAGAAATACTACCTCGGGTTAAGAACTTTGCTTCAGGATGAGAACAGAAATCGTGCTCCGGCGGCGGCAGGAGGCCCCATTAGTTAAAGTGGTGCTTTAGGTTAAGAACAGTTTCAGGTTAAGAACGGACCTCCGGAACGAATTAAGTACTTAACCCGAGGTACCACTGTATATGACAGGAGATGTAATAGAAGTGTTAGTATTTCACGCCTCTGATGCTCCAGATGAGATTGGTGTAAATCACATGCCTGTCTGGGAAGAGTGTGGGAACGGAAGACAGTCATATCTCTTCCGCTGTATGTCCTATTGTACTGTACTTTTGCTTTTACTTGTTCCTGTTCTTCTCTCAGAGCTGGAGAGAGAGGACACCATGACTCCTTTGTCTGTATATAGTGTGTAAATAAATACGTAGATTAGCTCTATGATGTCTCATGCTTCTTGTTGTGTTATGCTAGAAAATTAGTGTGCATATATCATTTGATATATGTCACTGAAGCGCACTGGAGAAGAAGGGAAATGCCGTTTCCAGAGCTGCGCATACCAGAGGATGCTCGGAGTTTGGGGGCTGCAGGGGCACCCCATAGCGTTTTCCAACAGTTCTTGTTCTCTTTGAATTATTGCCTACTTTGCTTTTCTTCTCCCCTCCCTTTCAGCATTTCTCGACTCCTATTTACCCCCATCTCCTCCAGCATAACAAAATTGCTCCTTGGAAGCTAATTCCATCCAACCTAACATTAAGGTGGTCCTGAGTACAGCTTGTACAGTTTCTTGTTATCAATACACATAGGCAAATAGATTACAGTGGTACCTCGAGTTAAGTGCTTAATTTGTTCTGGAGGTCTGTTCTTAACCTGATGCACCACTTTAGCTAACCTGATGCACCTCCCGCTGCTGCTGCGCCGCCGGAGCACAATTTCTGTTCTCCTCTCCTGAAGCACTATTTCTGGGTTAGCGGAGTCTGTAACCTGAAGCGTATGTAACCCGAGGTACCACTGTACACAATACCCCTGGTGGCCAGGGTGAGAACATAACACAGAGCATCAGCGCAGGCAAGGCTGTATATTTAGTTTCACTTTAATTCAAAGTTCTTAACCCGAGGTAATATTTCTGGGTTAGCAGAGTCTGTAACCTGAAGCCTATGTAACCCGAGGTACCATTGTATATAGAGCTAGCAGCATCAGGAAGTGAGACGAACTTGTACTTTTGTATCTAGTTGTGGTTAGTAAGTTATGGTTTCAGAGATTACTGCCGTGTCCCGAGCAAGCAGTGCTCTTCACACAGGGAAGGCATGTTAGATGCTACAAAGCAAACATCAGGTTCCCAGTCCCTTGTAATGCTAATGTAGGAGTAAGCAAATGCAAAGGCATGCCAGTTCCATCCTGCACAAATGCAGCTCCCTCTCTGGCTGTGCTTTCTTGAAAAAGGACCCCCTCCTTCAAATACTGTATTTTTCACTCCATAAGATGTACTTTCTTCCTCCTAAAAAGTAAGGGGAAATGTCTGTTGCTTCTGATGGAGTGATTGTTGTGGTCCCTGGAGGCCAAATTGCCCAGGGGCAAAAAGCAGATCATGCTTTTTTTTTTTTTTTTTTTTTTTGGAGAAAGAGGGGTTGGGTGTGTTGAAACGAAGCCGCCCAGCAGTGATCAGCAGGGAGATAAGGGATGCCCAGAGTCTGTCAAGACTGGCCCGTACGGGCAGGGTACCTTTACCTTTTATGGGCAAACACATACGTTTGCCAGAATGATAGAAAGTTCCACCTTATACAAACAGAAGAAATGAGCCAAATTTTGGGTCTAAAGGCAGGGTCCTTTATAGCTGTCTGGGCCCCGACAATGGGAATTTCTGGATGGAGCAACAGGCCATACTGTCAACCGACCCCCTAGACCCCCTCTGGGGTGTTACCTACGTGTCAGAAGTTTGACATACACAAAATAGGTCAGATATCATTTTTCTCGGACCATTGTTTCTAGGTAAGGGAATGCAAAGTTTTGAGTCCTGAGTAACTTCAAAGCTTGTGAGCACCTGTGCCAAACTACAGCTTTTAAACGCTGATCTTTTTGGCATCCGCTGTTGGCTTAGGGCCCTTGTATTTACAGGACCGCCTCTCCTGGTATGCCCCACAGAGGACCTTAAGGTCCGTGCATAATCATAGTTTAGAGGTCCCACGCCCTAAGGAAGTTGGATTATCCTCCTCCAGGGCCAGGGCCTTCTCAGTGATGGCTCCAACCTGGTGGAATGCTCTGTCCCATGAGACCAGGGTCCTGCAGGATTTAACTTCCTTCCGCAGGGCCTGTAAGACAGAGCTATTCCACCTGGCTTTCAATTTGAACTTAGCCTGATCTTTTATTCCCCTTCCTTCCCTCCCCCTCCCCTTTTTATGAAGATTACCCGCTCTGGGATCCCACAGCTAATTCTCCCCTGGTCTCTTCACTGGCCCAAATAGGACTAATTGAGCCAGCTAGCCCTGGTGATCATCTAATGTTTATTGGATGGACTTCCCCCTAAATTGATTTTTGAATTCTAAATTTATTGTTATTCACATTTTATACTGTATTGTATGCTCTTTTTTTGTTGCATTAATTAAGTGTTTTAAATTTGTTGCTAGCCGCCCTGAGCCCGGTTTCCTGAACCGGGAAGGGCGGGGTATAAATAAAAATTTATTATTATTTATAAGAGACATGGAGTGTGGGGGTGAACTCAGATCCCTCTGTTAGCTACCCCCAAGTGACCTCCCTGGGGCGCAAGGTTGGGCAGTGTGTGTGGAGGTCCTGAGCTGCCCAGACAACAGATTCTCAGCCTTGTTGATGTGGTCCAAAGGAAAGGAAAGGAATATGTTTGGCACCAGCTTGGCTGCAGGAGTTGACGGAGGGAGGCGTGCAAGACACCATCCAACCGTCTTAGGGATTCCACTCTGGATTTGTGTAGGGTTCACCTGTTTCTTCTTCTGAAGATGTCCTGCAAGGCAGCAGAGGTTTCGGATCAGAGTTTTCCTTCTAGAAATTAAAGTTCAATAACATCTGGAGAGAAACCTCTTGGCCTCCACCCCTGTCCGTTTTTGACTTTGTTGTTGTTGTTTAGTTGTTTAGTCGTGTCCGACTCTTCCTGACCCCATGGACCAGAGCACTCCAAGCACTCCTGTCTTCCACTGCCTCCCGCAGTTTGGTCAAACTCATACTGGTAGCTTCGAGAACACTGTCCAACCATCTCGTCCTCTGCCGTCCCCTTCTCCTTGTGATCTTTCCCATCATCAGGGTCTTTTCCAGGGAGTCTTCTCTTCTCATGAGGTGGCCAAAGTATTGGAGCCTCAGCTTCAGGATCTGTCCTTCCAGTGAGCATTCAGGGCTGATTTACTTCAAATGGAGAGGTTTGATCTACTTGCAGTCCATGGGACTCTCAAGAGTCTCCTCCAGCACCATAATTCAAAAGCATCCATTCTTCGGCGACCAGCCTTCTTTATGGTCCAGCTCTCACTTCCATCCATCACTACTGGGAAAACCATAGCTTTAACTATACGGAACTTTGTTGGCAAGGTGATGTCTCTGCTTTTTAAGATGCTGTCTAGGTTTGTCATTGCTTTTCTCCCAAGAAGCAGGCATCTTTTAATTTTGTGGCTGCTGTCACCATCTGCAGTGATCATGGAGCCCAAGAAAGTAAAATCTCTCACTGCCTCCATTTCTTCCCCTTGTTTTTGACTTTACAGAAGCTGAATGGGAGTTGTTTCTCCATGGGTTCATATCATGTCGCTGCTGTAATGTGTGGATCAATCGTGTGGGCGCTTTACAGCTTCCCAGTACGTTTCCGAGCACAATTCAAAGTGTTGGTGCTGACCTTTAAAGCCCTATATAGGCCTCAGCCCTGTATACCTGAAGGGAGCGTCTCCACCCCCATCGTTCTGCTCGGACGACTGAGATCCAGCGCCGAGGGCCTTCTGGCGGTTCCCTCACTGAGAGAAGTGAGGTTACAGGGAACCAGGCAGAGGGCCTTCTCGGTAGTGGCGCCTGCCCTGTGGAATGCCCTCCCACCAGATGTCAAGGCACTAAACAACTATTTTACTTTTAAAAGACACCTGAAGGCAAGCCCTGTTTAGGGAAGCTTTTCATGTTTGATGCATTACTGTATTTTAATATTTTGTTGGAAGCTGCCCAGAGTGGCTGGGGAAGCCCATCCAGATGGGCGGGGTATAAAATAATAATAATAATAATAATTATTATTATTATTATTGCCATCTAAATGGAAATACTATATAGCAGTAATAACAACATAAATGTCATGCAGCAAACCTGCACACAGTTACCTGGTAATGAGTCCCATTGCCATATAGAGGATTCCATAGTAATCTGGGCGTATAGGTACACCAAAGTCTGTACCATTCTGTTTTGGATGGCACAACCACGTGAATGGTAATGTCTGAGTGAATTTAGGAAACTTCTTTGTTGTTACTGCTTTGATTCCTTTTTTTCGTTTCCAGAGATTTCACTTTTCTCACGCTTCTTTTGTCTCTTAGGGCTTTCCTCCCAGGAAAAAAACCCCACAGCTCTTTAGTGCTCATTTGGAACAAATGACCATTCGGGTTTTCTCCAGATTGATGTTTGCTCCAGTTTAGAGCTAAAGAGCTCCCTAGAAAGGAAGATGGCAAGGGGGAAAGCAGAAAACTGCTTGCCTAGAAACATGTCTAGAAACCATGGGGCAAACAGAAGTGTGGAAATGCCCTTAGCTGGCAGTGTGTGTGTCACACAGAATCCCTCAGAGGTACCCTGTTCGATTCCTGCACCAGTCTATCACATGCCACATTACTTGGCCATATCTCTAATTCCCACAGGTCCACATCCTTAATTTTAAACTCTATTAGTATACTGTACTGCATTTGCTATACTTAAGAACTAATCTCATGTAGACATTCTCAGTGCCGCAGGAATAAAAGAGGCTCCGGAATATGACTCCACGAGGGAGGTTTGTTTCCTCCCTGGATCTCCCTTGAGAACAGCGATGTTCTTTTGGCAAAATGATCTCTGTAACCTTGCTAAAATTAAGCCCTATTCTAC